TTTCAGAAATAAATCGCTGTCCGCTGAAAACACGCCAAGAGTGTACCCATCCCGTAAGAGTGACGAACCACAAAAGCCTAGTTTCAAACTAACTTGCTATAATTGTGGAAAAGAAGGTCATACATCTAAGTTATGTACCAAAAATCGGATACCAAGAAGTGCTTCTGCAACAGCACAAAACAACTTAATACAAACACAAGCACCCCTTACAGAAAAAGAAAAAAACCAGAAGTGCTAACTGCCAAGATCTCTATTCCTGTCTCAAAATCAGTGGACGTGTCTAGAAACATAGATGAATTAAAACTTGTCAAAGTTAAATGTGGAGATATTATTCTAAATGGAATCGTAGACACGGGAGCACAAATTTCAGTAGTCCGTGAGAAATTGGTTGACAACATACCTTGCGAAGGAGAAAGTAAAATAGAGATATCTTCTGCTTTTGGTGAAAACGAAATTACTCCACTAAAGATTTTCCAGATGAAAATTGACGATGATTTTCACGGTAGAGTGTCCATTACGTGTGCTGTTTCAAAAAAGCTAGTTACCGACTTGCTATTGAGTTCTTCAGCTTATGAAACACTCTGTGGAAATATCGAACTGTGGAACTGTGATCGTCATTGGGATGCATCCCCCTTAGAGTACAAAGAGACAGATGATAAACCCTCACCAGTTGAAGAAAATACTACAAATTTGGCTGTTGTTAATCAGATTTCCCAAGAAAACATAGAGTCTCGGAAAACAACGAATAGAGTAAGACTAGAATTCAAGACACATCAAGAACAAGACGAAACTCTGAAAAAATGCTTTGAATGGGCAAATAAAAATCAAAATTCATATACTTTCGATGATGGCATATTACTTCATTCCGAATATATCTGTGGTGAAAACATTAAGCAAGTTGTGTTACCTTTAGAAAAAAGAAGGGAAGTCCTAAGAATGGCACATGAAATCCCTCTTGCCGGCCACCTCGGTGAGAAAAAGACAATTCAACGAATCAAGTACTCATTCTTTTGGCCTACTATTAAGCAAGATGTTAAAAAATTCTGTGAAAGTTGTAAAGAATGCCAATTGAGGAGAACAGTTACGTACAAACATCGAATCCCAATTCAACCTATTGTTAGACCGGAAACACCCTTTTAAGTATGGAGCGTGGATTGTATCGGGCCATTAGAACCTCCATCCAGGAAGGGTCATCGGTTTGTGATATGTGCAGTTGACCTATGCACCAGATGGGCAGAAGCCACCCCCATCAAAGACATAAGTGCGAAAACAACATGCAACGTTTTGATGAGGTTTTTTACTCAAACTAGATTTCCAAAAGTGATTTGTTCCAACCAGGGAACTAATTTCACAGCCAAACTCACCCGAGCCTTTGAGAACTTACTTGGTGTGTCTCCACGATTCTCCACTCCAGGACACCCCGAGAGTATGGGTGCTGTTGAGCGTTGGAATAGAACCTTAAAAGAGATGATGAACAAAAATATCCAAGAACATGGCAGAAACTGGGATTTGAATCTTCCCTATCTCCTGTTTGCCTACAGAGAAGTGCCACATAGCACCACTGGTTTGTCTCCCTTCCAGATGGTATATGGAAGAATACCACCAGGACCATTATCTTTGCTGAAAGAGATATGGACAGGTGAACGTAGCATTCCAGTTACAGCTTCCCGTTCAATTGAAAATTATCTACAGGATCTTTTAGAAAAATTAAGAAAAGCTCATGACATTGCATCAGCAAATTCCAAAATATCTCAAGAAGAGTACACTTCAAGATACAATTTACGTTCTCAAGAAAAGACTTTCAATGTTGGGGACAAAGTCCTCGTGTTAATGCCATCATCATCACATAAATTGCTCAACACGTGGCAAGGACCAGCTACCGTGATCAAACTTACCAGGCCACACTCTGCCAAAATCGAAATGGAAAACGGAAGTATTAGAGAACTCCATGTAAATAAGTTAAGGCCTTATATTGCTCGTGTAGATCACGTTGGTATCATTTTTGACCAAGATGAAGAGTTTGGAGATATCCACTATGCACCAGCAGATCTTATGAATAAATCTGCTGATGATATCTGGACCTATTTACAAAATTTGAAAGGTGACTTAAAATATTACCAACGGGAAGGACTATTTAAAGTACTAAAATATTATGTAGATGTTTTCAGTAGCAAACCTGGTCAAGCCAATGTTGATGGTCATGACATCAAGGTTACAGAAGAATGTAATCCAAAAAGATTGAGGCCCTACCGTGTTCCTGTTTCACTTCAAGAGGAAGTCGATCGTCAAGTTAAAGAACTGTTAGAATGGGATTTTATAGAACCCAGTGACAGTGACTGGGCACATCCTATAGTATGTGTTGCAAAAAAGAATGGCAGCGTTAGACTGTGCATAGACTTCAGGCTTTTAAATAGCTTCACAATTCCGGACGCCTATCCGATGAAGATTGCTAAAGATTTACTATTCGAAATAGGGAAAGCCAAATTCATAACAGTTCCCGATTTAACCAAGGGATATTGGCAAATTCCTATGAAAGAAGAAGCTAAACCCTACACAGCATTTATCACTCATTCCGGCCATTACCAATGGAAAGTTCTCCCTTTCGGTTGGAAAAATGCTGGAAGTACCTTCCAAAAATCGATGGATAAGGTGCTTGCAAACCATAAGAACTACTGCCGTTCATATATTGATGATGTGGCAATATTTTCTGAAACTTGGGATGGCCACCTCTATCACATCGACCAAGTGTTTCAGACGCTGAGAAACGCAGGTCTAACCGCAAATCTAGAAAAGTGTGATTTCGGAAAGAGTCACGTGAAGTTTCTAGGACATGCAATAGGTTCTGGCACTCACTCTCCATATCCTGAGAAGGTAGAAGTCATCAGAAATCTGTCTAAGCCTACCACTAAAAAAGAAGTCAGAAAACTTTTAGGGCTAGTAAGCTACTATAGGGATTATATCCCAAATTTTTCTGAGATTGTTTTACCTCTAACAAACCTTACAAAGAAGGGTGTTCCAAATAATATTCCATGGGACTCTAAAAAAGAAGCAGCTTTCAACAAACTTAAAGAAGAGTTGATTAAAATGCCATCTCTGCATACTCCGGACATCAGCAAGCCCTTTCAACTCTATACGGATGCATCTGCTTTCGCAATTGGAGCGTGTTTAGCTCAAAACGACGAACATGGCAAAGAAATGTCCATAGCATTTTTCAGCAAGAAATTAACGCCCTGTCAACAACGATGGTCAACCATCGAACGAGAAGCATTTTGTGTCATCGAAGCCTTGAAAAAATTTGACACATGGATTTTCGGTGCCAAAGTGCAGATTGTGTCTGATCACAATCCCCTCACCTACTTGACCCAAAGCACCCCTCATGGTGCTAAACTGTCTCGTTGGGCCTTAGCGTTACAACGGTATAACATGACTGTGACATACCGCAAAGGAAGTTCACATGGGAATGCTGATGCTTTGTCAAGGTTAGCTGTTAACTCTTTCTCTCTCAATGAACTCTGAGCAACATTGTCTCTACGGTGATGAATGTGTTTCTTGTGGGGGGACTTGTAAAGATCAGGACTTGTACAGATCGTGACTTGTAAACATCGTGACTTAAAGAGAACATAAATATAAAGTGAAATATAAATAATAGGACAAAAACTTGCATTTTACGGTGTGGCAACAAGAAGAGGATTCGGAAGATTTTTATATATATTTTTGTTTAGAGAGTTGAATGTTTAATATTTTAATAGTTGTAAGAGTTTAACTGTAGTAGTTAAGAGTTTAAAATTTTAAAAGTTAAGAGCTGCAGTATTTTATTTTTTTGGTTCTGTTCTAAAATTCAAATAAAAGTATTTTGTTCATTCTGAAAATTTAGCTTTGTTCTTCCTACAAGGTTCAATATCCGTTATATTGAAATAACGAAAGGATTTTTACTAATATGAAATCGATAGTAAAACAAATTCCAAATTAGGGCTTCCACATGCTCATATTTGGTGGAGGATTACGTTATTCAAAATTTGATGGCATTAGGTACTGTTGTTTTATCGCAATGCGAGAAACATACATACATTTATGCAGATTCTTCATTATTTAATTTCTTTAAATACAACACAGGGTGATAATATTCAGTGGCAACAATCTGAAAAGTGAAATGGACATTTAAAGTTTTTGATGCAAAATGCCAAAATTAAATTAACATCCCTTCTGGGCTAATATGCCCTTTGGGCTAAAAAAAATTATGGCTGTATGTTTCTAAATCTCATTCCCACATGCTGATCTCTCAAAAAAGATAATACTCATTCTTGTTTCTCCAAAGCATTTAGTAAAGGGAGCCATATTTTTGTGTTCTATATTAATCTTTGCATTCTATACATAAAATATGACATATCAGTTAAAGCAATGGAAGTTAATTTAATAATTTAAATACAATTAATTTAAAATATATATGTCATGTAATTTACTTTTTATCTTCTAAACACCATTCAAACTGATTCATAGCACTCAGTTATTATATTCTACATATAATTCAGATTGATTCAAACCTGCATTTACATGTCACTCAGCCATACAAGCAGATATATAATATAAAGTCTTTTGGCATCTTTTATCCCTTTGTTAAAAACTGTGATTTTAATAAAAGATGACATAAATATTCCCAAATAAACAGAAAATTTTCCATTTCCTATGTATGTTTTAAATACATTAAACCTCGATAAAAAGATTTAAATAATTAGAAAGACGTTAATATTTCTCTAAAAACAAAATTATATCATCTTAACAATAAAAGAAAGACTCGGCATAACTACTTTTTACAAGAGAGAATTGCATATTGAAAAATTACGGCCAAAATAAAACTTGTTTATAATATTTTATGAGTTTTTTAAATGCAAACATGTCTTTTTAACACGTTGGCATTTAAAAAACCTTCATGTAACATTTCTTTAACATGTGTATAAATGCACACTTCTTTAACTTGTTTATAAATAATGATAATGCACATATATATATTAAACTATTTATTTATTATAAAATACAGTAGGATTGTGGTTTCTCCAACACACATACAAATACTCATATTTTATTTTGGTCCTAACATTTCAGATGGTTGCACCCATTTATCAAACTGTTCTGATGTCAAGAATCCCAATTTAATTGCAGCTTCTTTCAATGTAGTACCTTCTTTGTGAGCTGTTTTGGCAATTTTAGCAGCTTTGTCATACCCGATATGTGGATTTAAGGCAGTTACCAACATTAAAGACTCATTCAAAAGTTTACTGATTTTTTCACTGCAAAAAGGAAAAAATAGCAATAAATAAAAAGAGAAAAAAAAAAAAAAATCAGTACAGTCATGTAACTTTCTCTAGCTAAATAACTCTCTCTATTAATGAAGCATGTAAATATACTAAGTTAGAAACTATACACTAAAATATGGCTTTACAAAATTTATTAATACATTTACAGGAAATGACAAACATTTTAATTCTATCTATACACTTTCTGAAAAATGTTTTAAAACTGTTTTGTTTAAGTTTACATTTTTTGAAGCATTTCTGAACAGCTACATCCAATATATAATTTAATGTATGGGGGATAATTGTTTAAATTCATGGAAAAATTTGTTCAAAAATAAATGGCAGCATTAAATTATTTCCTACAACCAAAAACTGGTCTTAACTCTTGCCACATGAAAGTGTTAGAGATGATACATATAATCCCACTAAAACATTTTATAAGACAACTTGTAGAGACATTAAGATTTTTTTTTTTTTGGAAGCAGACAAGATGAAAAATAGCAAACCGCCTTCGCCGGGAATCGAACCACGGACCTCTGGAATACCGGCCCAGCGTGCTACCATTACACCACGAAGGACGCTAGGAAAGTGGTAGAAATATCTTATATACTCCCCTTTTTAAAGGGCTACTAGGGTTTTAGAGGACCTAGTCGCCAAAGCCTGGGTGCGGAGAATCATCATCCACAACCCTTTTAGTTCGGGCCCCACTGTAGAGACATTTGGATTTTTTTTGGAAGCAGACAAGATGAAAAATAGCAAACCGCCTTTGCCGGGAATTGAACCACGGACCTCTGGAATACCGGCCCAGCGTGCTACCATTACACCACGAAGGACGCTAGGAAAGTGGGAGAAATATCTTATAACCTCTAAAAAGCTACAAATTTAATACTTCACCAGATTTAGATTAATCGCATAAATTTTACCAATCACTTAATATGGATTTGATTGCCTTAATTACTTTAATGCATACAAATATGCTTACTTTGTACGGATTGCAAATTTTAAATATTTAATGTGTGAATTTTTACTCTCCCATGAGATGATTTTAAATTTTAATCACATTTATGAACATGTTCATATAAACTTCATCCAGGTGAAATTACCCTCATGCTATATTAACACTAACAATACAATTTTATTACTTTCCTCATTCTATTTGTTTTTAATTATTAGACAACATGTGGTGATTTAATTTCTAGCAATAATTTTCTATTCTTTTCTCTCACCATGCATCAAAATAATGAATCAAAGGCATTTTGGTTATCTAAATTGATACAATACAGCACTAATAATTTACAGAATAACAATAATTATGACTATAATGTAATTTAAAAAATATATAATTTCAACTCATAGAAACTAATATGCTAGCAAGAAACACAGGAAATCAACTGTTCCCTCAATAGGAATCAAACTACAGGTCTTCCAATTGCTAGCTGGATGTGCTAATTTTAATGGCATAGATATTTTTAGAAGAAATATCATTCTTCCATACATGCTCCCCTTATTTCTAAGGTACTGAAGAAAGGTACACTATGCACCTCGCAAATTCAGGAAGTAATAAGTTCAGTTAGGTTACCTGAACATGACAAAACACATTTGGTCTATCTGCCTAAGGAAAGGGGTGCCTTTATGGTAGACTTTCTACCAGAAACTGCCTCATATTCACATTACACATGGGAAGAAACACAAAAACCAATCAGCTAGCCTGTTTGCCTGGAATTGAACCAGGTCAAACTCCCAGTATTCATTGGTCTTAATCACTAGGCCTATGGTGAGGTGATGACAAATTATCATCCACTACATTTTAGTTCAGAAGTTATAACAGAAACTATAAGACATTTTTCAAAAGGAAACATGAAACCATAAACTGCATTCTCACTAATAACTGAACTACATATCTTAAAAGCACTAGCCTGGATAAATTAGTACTTTGAAGAACTTGGAAGTATTATAAAAAAGTATGAAAAAGAATGCCATACTTCCTTATAAACTTCTGTAATTTAGTGGCTTGAAAAGTTATAATAACCATAATATTTTATCAAGAAATGCTAAAATAATCATTTTTAAACTTTTTGAGATAACAACTAACACAAAAAATTATACTGGATTAGTATTAAGAAACCCACTTTGTACTGCAAATTTATTCATTAGAGTAGAACTGTATAAGTATAGGACTACAGAATCAAGTATTATCAATGCCTTGTAAATTTAAAACTGCCACAGAAATATTTTAAGTATTGCTAATGGATAAACTCTATTCTAGAAATAATAATAAAAAAAAAAAATACTGCAGATGGATTTATAAACATTTCAAAACGGTTTTGCTATGTGTATTCATAAATATATTACAAGACTTTATTTTTGTAGCAATAATCTAGAAACTTATCTTGATCTAACAAAAATAGCAAAATTTACAGATTATTTAAAATATTTTAACCAATATCTAATAGGAAAACCCAAATGTGACAAAATATCATCTAATATTCCCAGATAAGACTTTCAGTAAATGAGTATAAAACTTCCTAAAAACAATAATCACCAGTTTTAAACATATGAAAAAAAAAAAAAAAAAAAAAACTTTAAAGATAAAGTTATAATGATGTATGACAAATGATTTTTACTTTGACATATCATATGGGTTTTCCTATTAAAAACTAAATAAATTACATACTCACATGTTTGGAATTATTCCTTTGACACAATTATTTGTAAATGACAAAGAACTATCAGCAATCAGACGAACAGATCGTAAAACATTAGCCACCATCATGGGTTTGAAGACATTTAGTTCAAAATGTCCATTACTGCCTCCAATGGTAGTGGCAACATGATTGCCCATGACCTGAGCTGCAACCATAGTAATCGCTTCACACTGTGTGGGATTTACTTTCCCTGAAATAAATATTTAATTGTACATGAATCTAATACTTTATAAAATTTACTGTTAGCAAAATAACTTCAAATAAAAAAATTTTATTACAAGCAAAATAAAATATACTATATATATATTGGTTTGTTCTCCTTTACTAATTATATAATTAATAATCTCCTTTATTATTTATAATTATATTGTTTCACAAGAAAATAGAAAATTTTGATTTAACAAATATTCTATATTTGTATAAAGCAAATATAAAATTAAAATTTAAAATTTAATTAAGAAATTTTAATTGCAAAGAAATAAAAATAATAATAGTTATTATTGCTGCAAAAGATGCCATATTGCTGATTAAAAAGCAACAACCAGGTAACAAAACTGAAAACAAATGAAACATACACAATAAAGACAACACCTTTTTTTGGCTGTTCTTCCCATGCATACCATGAACTGTTTCATCTTCAAAAAAATATCAGAAGATTGCACAAATTTGCCACTGGGCATGCTGTTGTTTTCCCATGAATACAGTGAAATGTTTTTACTTAAAAAAACATCAGATAACTGTAAAAATTCACCATCAGTTCAGAAATTTTGATTGATTAAATTTGATCATTTGTGAAGCATAACTTCACTGCATGCAAATTTTTGCATTCACAACTGTCAGACAAAATGCCATATTTCTGAAGAAATGTAATACTACCTTTCTCATCAGCCAGCAAACTCCAGTCCCTATTACAATTCCTTACAAGGAAAATAATACACTTAATGCAATAAAAACTAGCAGCATTAGCCATCAGATTTAAAGATGGAAATGTGGGCTTCAGCGGGAATTAACACTCGTCTGTTGTCCACATGTGCTTACCTGGACTGCCACTCAAATACATTCTGCAGTCTTAGGTTGTTTATTTCTGCCAACATAGAATGTTGCCTCATGAATACTTTTCAGAAGGGTACAGATAATCAAAAAGTATTGAAATATTTTACTAATTACAGCTTTCTTTATAGGCGACCTAGATAAAAATATTAATTTCACATATTTTTATTAATCTTATATTAAAATGGTCATAGTCATTTAATTTACCTTACTTCCTTTCCTTCTTAAACTGGAATATATATGGCATGTATCTATACGGTGCATAAATATATTGTGTGTGTGTGTGTGTGTGCATGTGCGATATATATACAGTCAAAAGTCTTTAATCTGGACTTCGCCGATTCCGGATTATCGGTTTTTCCAAATTATAGACCATCAGTTTAAATCTGGCAAGATGGCATGCAGAAATTATAAAATTTAAAATATGAAACCTTAATTTATGAAATAAAGAGCAATTATGATCTAAAGGGTATCAAAATTTACAAAAAAAAAAAAAAAAAACTTAGTATTTATTTGTTTACTTTATTAAACATTTCTTTCAACGCGCACATGCATAAAGCATACATTACGCATAGTCGAAATTAAAAAAATTGCAACCAGAAAGCTACTTGATGTAAATTCGTGATATTTATAATGACGAGGAATTTGATTTAAATCCTATCAAAGACGGAGTATATCGAGATGAAATGCTACATTTAGTAAGGAATTATAAGCCGAATAAAATAAAAACATCTGCCCTGAAGATAAGGATAGTGCTGACAGATCAACTTCCAGTTCATTGCACGCCGTGACGTTTACCCCAACCCCCGTAGAGCAGCATAAAATTGATAAACAGATTTCAGAATGGTTAGAAAACCAAAGGATATGCCTTTATCCATTTTTTCAGCAATTCCAATTTTTGTTTGATGGACATCGAAACATGTTTCGTTTTGTAGATCTTTGGTAGCTCCAGAATCGGAAATTTTTTGACATAACCGAAAGTTCAAGCTTACTTTTATAAAATTGCTCTAACAGTCTGCAAAAAAATATACATACATATTTGTTTAATAATTCATTTACATAAAAGAATTAAAATAAATCAATTACTTCATATCTAACGTAAAATATAACATATACTGCTGATAATCAGATTTATAATAAAGCACACATTTTAAGTACATAAAAGACAAAAAGAAATTTTATCATTTTACAAATAACTTAAAAATCTTGTTATTCAGAGGTCCGTATTTAGAGTAAAGAAGCCATCGATTTAGGACAATACACTTTATTTACACTAATAATAAATAAAAAGATCACACAGCAAATCATACTAATCATCACACAGCATATACAGTCAAAAGTCTTTAATCCGGACTCGTGGGGACTTCAGCGATTCCGGATTATCGATTTTTCCAGATTATAGATCATCAATTTAAATCTGGCAAGATGGCATGCAGAAATTATAAAATTAAAAATATGAAACCATAATTTATGAAATAAAGAACAATTATGATCTAAAAGATATAAAAATTTACAAAAAAAAAAAAAAAAAAAAAAGAGCTTAATATTTATTTGTTTACTTTATTAAACATTTCTTTCAATGTAAGTTGTTTAATTTGCTTCGTTTTATGTGATAATACTTTCTCTTTAATTCTATAAACAAACATAATTTCTTGTTCAGTTACAAAGTTTCCGCTGTTCAAGTCCTATAATTGCTGTGTCGAGAATACCGACTAATTTGTCAAACGAAATTTTTTCGTTTTCAATAACCTCTGTGTCACTTTCTTCACTATCAGAAGCGAATTATAATGACGAGGAATTTGATTTAAATCATATCAAAGATGGATTACATCGAGGTGAAATACTATATTTAGTAAGGAATTATAAGCCAAATAAAATAGAAAACATCTGCCCTGAAGATAAGAATAGTGCTGACAGATCAACTTCCAATTCATTGCGTGCTGCAGCATCCAGAATTAACAAGATAATTATCTAATTGTTCATTTACAAATTCTAAACCATTGTCTGTTCTCAAACATTTAACCTTTTACCAGTTAAATTTTCATACTTAGCTTTAAATTTACAAAATGCGTCAAATACTTCACTTTTAATTTTAAGAAAATAAGTAAAATACATTCCAGAAAAATCATCCACTAAGATCATAACATATTTAGATCCACCAATTGATTCAGTTTGAACAGGGCCACATCGATCCGAATAAATTAATTCTAAAATTTCTGAACTCTGATTAATATCAATATTTGGATGACTTTTTCTAGTTATTTTACTTATCTCACATGTTTCACACTTAAAATCACTTACAACATTAATATGAATGTATTCTTTCATTTTAACCATATATTTTGGGTTTAAATGGCACAATCTACTATGCCAAAGTTCATAATTATTACCAGTACAATCATTAGCAATGCAAGATTCAGAATTATAATACGGTTCTAAGTTAACTTCAAGCCTACCGTTATTCTTAAATGCTTTAAAAAGTAATTGATTACACCTACTAAAAACTAATACATAATTATTCCTTGATTCAATTTTACATCCTTTATCCATTAATGCAGCTAGTGACAATAAGTTAGTTCTTAAATCAGGAATATAACTAACATTACTAATAGTTAAATTAACAGAACTAGAATTCTTTACATTTATAGTTTTTGCTTTGACAGTACCAATACCTTCTGAAAATATTTTTGAATGTTTACCTGCCTGGTAAATATCCCAAACCTCTAGTGTAATATTCTGAAATCGAAAGAAGTCTTTTGCTATGTGTCCAGTTGCACCACTATCCAGCAACCAAATTTTGTCACATTCATCATTTTTCCACGTGTAAGTTGAAGAGCGAAATCACTTTCTCTTTCATTAGAACGAGATGAAACGTTCACACTTGTAGGCTGCGACTTTTTACTTTCTTCGTTACCTTAGGATAACTCATGTTTTGGATTCTTGTTGCTGTAGTAGCAATCTTTCGCATATGACCAGGCCATCGACAAATGTAACAAATTCTTGGCATATAGTTGATATTCCTCCTTGATATGAATGCCTCAGTGTTGGTTCCATCAGGTCATTTCCCGTTCGTTGAATTGTGTGTAGACTCTTCCTCACAGAATATTTCGAGTATTTCATCAATTGTTTTTCATGCTGAGTTTTATAAAAACTCATTCCCCAATTCGAGATAATAAAACATTAACATTTCCTAATAAAACATTTCCCTAATTCTAGAGAATTTTCCACGAAGTCCACAAACTGTGTAAAACACCAATTCCCGAGGAAATACTTCTAGTCTCAGCGATTGGCACTTACTTGTTATTCCTCTCGCTCTTGTGATATAATCATTAGCTGACTCATGCAACTTCATTTCTAAATTTTTGAACTCTTTACCAACATCTATTTTTCGATCTTCGGCTTGTCCTGTAAATGTTGATTTTATTTTCTCCCAAAGAATTTTTGCATTCTCTTCTGGGGAAAACTGAAGCACCCGTTGATCCAATAGAGAAAGTTTTATATACGCTACGGCGTCAGCGTTTTTCTCATTCCACAATCTTTCATCTTTCTTGACTAATTTTTCTGGTTTTACAGTCGAAATTTCTGAGTCAAGTCTTTTCAATGATTAGGCAGCTTTAATTTTCAATGCCCAGAAAAAATAGTTCTCACCAGTTAATTCGGGAACGCTCCACTTCTCCATTTCTGGCTTTCACTAAGACGGTTTCGTTTTCTACTTGGTATTTTGTATCCAATTCTTCTTGATAAAACCCCTCTCTGTTACCATTTGTTGTTCAGAGGCCCATATTTAGAGTAAAGAAGCCGTCAATTTAGGACAACACACTTTATTTACACGAATAATGAATAAAAAGATCACACAGCAAATCATATTAATCATCACACAGCATATATTATCTCACCATCTCCGTACGTTCCAATGACGGATGTGTTGGGAGAAGAGACAGCTGCCCCAGCATAATTAATACGTATGCGCAATGCGCATAAGAAAAACGTTTGCTCATCTCTACCCAACAAATCTAATTACATTTATAAAATTAATGTAAAATTATTATGGTAATAATTAATTGATATAAAATTATAATATTTATGCATGATAATAAAACAAAAAATTATTATATGTTACATACAGAAATTTTAATAATTTTTATATTAACAGAATTCTGTTAATTGCATAGTTAAAAGAACAACAAAACATCTGTTTTCAGAGGAAAAGTCAGAAACTAGCTTAGATGGATGGTGCCAAGTGATCAAGCTAACTAGACCTAGGGTAAAAGATGAAAAATCACTAGCAACAGAAAATCAAAAATATAATCAAATGTAAACAGGTGGTAAACTTTTCTTGTTTCTTACACTTCTCAGAATATAAGAATATAGTAATTCCCTTACAGAGTAAACAATTTTTCTAGATTTACTTAATGCAAACAAATAAGGTTAAAAAAAAATCATCATCTTGTAGCTTGAAATAACAAATCACTTGTATTAAGGTGAAGAAACTAATTTATCATAAGTATAAAGAAATCTATTGGAAATTTATGACCCAAAATAAATGCTGAATCCTAAATTAAGTTTATTAAAATACTAACAAAAACCCCAAACAATTTGTGGCATATATTGTTGATTTTCAGCCACAGAATTTCCATTTGCAATATCATTGGCTGTTGCCAAATAAGTTTCCAGCAACATTCCATTCCATCATGCAGGCATGTCTGCATCAAATGCAGACATCAATGCAGGCACTGCAGACATGTTGCATCAGCGATATATTTCCCTACATAGATAAACTGGTATAGGCACTGCAGATGTAAAGAAATACTTGTTTGGTGATATGTCTTTAGTATAGACAGGTCTAGAAGAACAAAGACAGTATGTCAAGACCTGCTGGAATCTGTTCAACAAACAACAAAGGATTTTCAGTGATAAATCATGTCAGTTGATGAAAAGTGGATTTATGACAATTATAGTATATTAAAAAAAAACTAGACAGATCTCTATAAAGCAATAACCTTCAAAATGAAATGTAATATTTACTCCAAGAAAATTATATTGCCATTCAAGTGGGAGATGAAGTTTATGCTCTATTATAAACTATCTGAACTGGATCAAACTGTTACTGCTAATCTGTTTTTAAAAAAACTCGGAAGTTGATCAAAGACTACTATTTACTGTTATTACTGTTATTACTAGTTACTCTCTGTTACTTTAAGATAAGCACTTTAATGCTGTTTCTAGCCCCTTTGAGATCACAGCTTGTATATCATCACTGCATTAATTTTCTCCATGTTATTTGAAACTGTAGTTCAAGTCAACCTTTATTCTTATCTTTTTCAAGAAGAGAAACAAGCTGAACAGAAATGAAGTGGGGGGAAAAGTTAAATAAGTCTTTCTTCTTCTTCTTCCCCCCCCCCCTCCAGCTATTGTTCTCACAGCTACAAGCCACAGAAATTAATCTTGAAATTCCCATTTTAAAGGAATAGACTATAGAAAAGGATTTTACATTATAAAGTTGCTCTATCATAATGCTAAACTGTATGCTGAAAAAGTAATCTTGGAAGCATTATTAATTATTTGCTAAAACAATTTGGAGCATCTGACGGGCAATCTCAACTCAGCCTTTCAGATTATTGTTTGATCTAGATGCAAAATACTTCCATGTACTGCATAAACCCAGACATCTGAAAAGTACAGAAATGGGTTATAACTTTATCACATCACATAAATTCACTGCTGGAAACAGTCAGCTGTCCAATCAATGATAAACGTTCATAGGAAATAACAGCATGTATTTTGATGATTAAAACTACTGTTATTTTCTTGAATATACATATCACATTGTCTTGAAAATAACCAGAAACTTATTTGTGCATTTAATATATGTATAATGAAGGAATTATATGATTACTTTAGCAGAGTTAAATGGTTTTTCTATAAACATTTTGAAAACATAATAAATTTCCTACAGAAAGCACAGAATTTATTATATAATATTTACAAAGAATAATGAAGTGTTTTGCATTATGTCATCATATATAATAATAATTATACTAATATTGGTTACATCTGGATCACAAACTATTATTTTAATATATACATGCTTTAAATTGAACTCTAAAACTTTTAAATTACTCTACATTACCTGGCATAATGCTACTGCCTGGCTCATTTTCTGGAAGTATTAATTCACCTAAGCCGCATCTCGGTCCAGATCCCAAGAAACGAATGTCATTTCCAATTTTCATTAGACTGCAAGCAACAACATTTAATGCTCCTGAGACTTCAACCATAGCATCATGTGCAGCTAAGGCTTCGAATTTATTTGGAGCAGAAACAAAAGGCAGTCCTGAATGACACAATATAAGCTACAATCAAATAATTTGTAAACATGTTCAATTGAGAAAATTCTTTAAAAGTAGTACAGTACAAAGTCTTTAATCAAGACTCGACTTCAACGATTACAGATTAGGGTTTTTTCTGGACTATAGATCATCAATTTAAATCTGGTAAGATGGCATGCAGAAATTATAAAATTAAAAATATGAAACCGTAGATTATGAAATAAAGAGCAATTATGATCTTAAGGGTATCAAAATTTACAAAAAAAAAAAAACTTAATATTTATTTGTTTACTTTATCAAACATTTCTTACATTTCTTCCAATGTGTATTCGTGATATTTATAATGACAAGAAATTTGAATTAAATCATATCAAAGACAGAGTACATTGTGATGAAATACTACATTTAGTACGGAATTATAAGCCAAATAAAATAAAAACATGTGCCCTGAAGATGAGGATAGTGTGGATAGATCAACTTCCAGTTCATTGTGCGCGTGATGTAGACTTTGTTACTACAGGAGCTCCTGAACATTCTGGTTGCCCAGCAACCGAATGTTAAAAGTCACTCAGCATTGATAGTTCAACCTTGGTTCAAATCCCAGCAAACAGGCTGACTGCACTGGGGATTTTGTGGTTTTCCTTATGCATAACATAAATATGAGTTGATTTCCCTTAGGAAGTCCTCCATGAAGGCATTCCTCCATACGAGTAGATAGCCCTCAAGTTAATTTGCCTTAATTCATTAACATAACTGTGAAAATCTAATACACGCCATGGAAAATCACAGTAAACATTATTAAATTTCTGTACGTGTATCTAAAATATTGTAACAAGAGCATTTCCCTAGCCAATTTTCTATCATTTTCTTATGTTCTTGTTTACATTTGTTTTTGAAGAAACAGGCAACTCTGCATGTAAAAGATATGTCAAGATTTTAACAGCATGTATTTTGATTACAAGTTCCATGTTCTTACCTGCAAAATCATTCAAGTTATATGAGTTTTCAAAGTTGTTCCTTTAATTTAAGTCAGTGTATTAACTGCCAGGTAACATTCCTGTAGTCTCAAAACATTCTTCCTTGAATCTTCCTAACTGCAGTATTATGGATAGTCATGCTGTTAGCAGAACTATAATGGCTCTGAATAGCTGCTTTTACAAAGTTTTCCTAACTGAATGATGTTACTTTAAGGCTACCTACTTTAAATATAAGTGTTTGGAGGGATTACTGTTAGAAGCTATTAATGAAAATTCTTATATCCAAAAATAAGCTTGTTTTGGGAACGTCTTTAAAAAAGCCTTTTAAGAATGAGATGGGCTTAAAGCGGATGTGTGTGCTACAGATAGACAAAGACAAAAAACATTCTAGAATTTATTAATTGAATTGGATAACATGAGTAGAATCAATTTATTAAAATTCTTCTCTGCTACTGTCATCAACATCCCTTTTCTCATTTATCAAAACACATTCTGTACCATCCCCAAAACTGACATCATGTTGGCCGTCATCTGACTGATTCCACAAGATGTGAGCAAATGAATAGTTTGATACTTTCAAATTCTGAATCAGTGTCAAAATTTTTCAACAGAATTCAGAAACAAAAGCCATTTTAACCCATATTTTATAAGACAAAATATTTTCAAAACATTCTTTTAGGAAACTGATACAGAAAGAACTTACTAAGAAATGCAACAATACATTTGGTTCATGTATTTGCTCAAATAAACAAATATTATGAACCAAGCATTCCATCTAGTTATACTGGATGCAGAAAAAAGTCTGGGGTGTTTTTTCTTTTAAATGCCTTAATTAAGTAAGTTCCATTTTTCTGAATGCAAAAAAGTTATTTGTGGTTTGGCTACCATGGTATTTAATTATTTAAATTCTTTTATACATACGTCATCAACAAGGTTCACTCTGTGGGCTTAGCGATGACTATACAAAATATGGCCACAAAAAATCACTCTTACTGACTCTACTCAAATAATTCACATACAACCGCATTCTTTCAAAAACACTAACAAACCCAGAAGAAAGCACTCACTTAATTCTGAAAGCTTTTTTAATCCAATACATGAACTACCATTATAGTCTCAAACTGCCTGGTGTCCTGATCTCAAACTGAAGTTTCATGCAGCTTTCAAAGCATAGAAAATCAAATCAAATTTCAAAATCAAAACTGAACCTTGAATTTGATAACACAAATATAAATTAAATTACAACAAATTTTCAGTTCACAGCTGACATATGCAAACAAACTAACACCAAATGTAAACATTAGTATTCACTGCTGAACCTAATTTTTAATCCTCTGAGTAGTGTAGCTTTTTTATATCTCCTGACGAAGAGCTGTATTTAAAAGTATAAGCTTAATTTGAATGGTCACTTATTTCACTTACTGTCTTCATAACCTTCCATTTCATGTTATTTAGATAATTGACGAAAATGAAAAAATATTTTAAATAACAAGCTAATACATACCAAGTGAATGAAAATTTCATGATTGAATAAAAATGGCCACGCCACTAGACGAATAAAAATTACATAAAACATTCAAAATTTTTTACAGTCCTTAGAATTTTTCAAAGCCAGGAACACTGAAGAAATCCTTAAAGCCCTTTCACTGGAATTTTAACTCCAGACCACTCAATGCTAGCAGAATGTGCTTTTCAATTATAGTATGAAAACATTTGTAAGATGGTAGAAAATACCACACATACCCCACTTACAGGAAGAATAGGAAGGAGAGTGCCGAAAACCAAATACCAATGATGGCGAATCATAGTCTACCACCTTTTAATTCAGACACCATTTGTAGAGTTGCATGCGATAAAGAGGGAGAAAATACCTTGCAACCTAATGTTTAAAATACCAATATTCTTGAACTGTTTTTAACTAACTAGCTATAATTATCAGTCTGTTTAATACACTAATACTAAAAATTGTACAAAAAGTCACAAGAAAGTGAATATTAAAGATGTCCAAATAAAAAACATATAAAATTATTCATGAATAAAAATTACAATACCTGTTATTTCAGCAACTTTAGCTGCAACTTTTTCAGCAAAACCAACTCTGGTATTTAAACCAGTTCCTACAGCTGTACCACCTATGGCAAAATCGGCATTAAATAAAAAATAATTTTAAATCAATGTAAACACCTCCAAATACATAAGGAGAGAGAGAAAATAAATTAAATGCATGTAAGAAATATTGCATAAAGATACAAAATAAATATCAAACGAACACTGTTACAATACCATATGCATACATACGTATAAAAAGCAATCTCATATGCATGTTATATTCAAACAAACAAAATTTTATATATTTTAAAAATTAACAGGTAGAAATTATAAATCTAAATTACATTCATTTAATAGAAATTGTAAGTGTAAAGATGAAAAAGTCATATTTTAAGCCTGAAGCATTTTTAAAAATTTTAAAACATTCTATGAGTAATTAGAGTAAATGTGCTAGTCCTGCACTTGAATAATTCATAAGGAGGCTTTTTTTTTTTTTTTTTTTTTTTTTTTTTTTTTTTTTTTATTTTATGTTTAACTGATTTTGCTTAGAATTTTAAAACTACATATTTAAGATAGTTTTCAGACAAAATTAGTTAAAAATGGAAAGCAATTTATTCAACATTACTGAACATAAAGTACTATTTTGAAAATATACTTTTTCAGATATAGTTTTCCTTATTAAAAATAAAAAAAAACTCGTGTATATATATATATACTCATAGCTACCTTTACCTTTTACAATATTTACAATATTTCTATGAACTTAATTTTTTTTTTCAAAACTGCATTGTATATTGATGCATTTGGCTCATGATGGTATCATGGCTGCACAATATCTCATCTGTTACTGTTTTAGACCTGTAAACAGCATTAATATAATCTCAGATATTACACTTTTTAAGTTAATTTTAGTATCAAAGCTATAAAAAGTAGTATCTAGTTAACATTTTCAATGGAAAGTTTCAAGAATTTCTGCTGTTATAATAAGAATTGTAGCCACAAATGAAATAAATCTGATTTAGTATGGCCCCTATTACTTCAGTTAAATCTTCACAACAAAGTGGTTCAAAATTAATTGCTTTCCACAGCGTTTTTGTAGATTTATTTGCAAAATGTTTATTAATTTTTCCCTGAGCTCATAGTTTCTGATTTTAATGGCATTTTCCAACTAGTTAGATGTTAATTGCTCTTTTTGGAAGATTTCAAAGCTCTTTACTGCCAAAATACAACTCAGGACTGCCACACAAATGGGAGAATGAAATTCCCCGACTTTTTCAGGTTTTCCAGGAGTGTTTTAAGAAAATTCCAGTCTATCCGCGTAATGCACATTAGTTGTTCTAAGAGGTAAATTAATTATGTTACCACTTAAAAACACAAAAATTCACCAAGTACTATTATAACTATAATAGGAGTTATTTTTCCTAGGTATTTTATATTTACTCAGCAGCAAACTTAAGCAAAAAATATGTGCATAAAATTTCGTGATAGTATGTCATCATACTGCTAGAATTAGTTTCAAGATTATGCCAGAGAAAATTTCCTGAAATTTGAAGGTATTATTTACTAATAATAAATCAATTTAGAAGGAAAAAGCAACATTAAATGATATGGGTAATATAAAAAAAACTTTAAAATTTAATTAGAATAAACGATATTTTAGTGAATACAGGAACTGGAAACCAAAGTTGCTGGAAACTTGCTTTGCCTTTCTAAAAGACAATCTAATTAGAGCTGCGGAAATTGGCTCTATGCCAGCTGCCCAAATGACATTCACCATGAAACTGATCGCTTCTCGGCACAAAACTCGCTTTTGGGGGGGGGGGGATCACTGTATGAAATTCCCTGACTTTTCCCTGAATTTTTTGGTCAATTTTTGAATTCCATGACTTTTCCCGGTTTTCCAGGTAACATGGCAACCCTGTACAACTTATGCCTATTAATAATAACTATTTATAGTATACTTTTTAAGGTTTAATAAGGCCAAATTTTTTGGTAATTGCAGTAAATGGAAAGAAATCAGAGAAATGATTATAGTAAAATATTTTAATAAGCCAAGAATTAACCCAAATGTAAATCCAATGCTTAAAAATTAATTTTCAGAATTCATGCAAAATAATTATTTTTTTTTTACTATGTTTTCCTAGTTATTTACTGATCATAAAAATGTTTAACTACTTACCTGAGTTATATTTTATTTATACTGTAATTCACATTATCTCTTTGCTACATATTTTAGGTATTCATATATTAACACAAACCACATTGTTGCAATCTAGCGATCTTACATAGATGAAATGGAAAAAGTTACTTATCAGGTGTAAGATGTTGGTTTTCATGACATTTTTAAAAAGATTCCCAAACTATTGATAGTAAGTTGGCAGATATTATCAACATATGGTCAATACATAGTCATTACAAGACTCAGGGCTTAATTTCTAAGATTAGAAGAGCCCTATGGAAGACCGTCAGCAAAGAGGAACAAGAGTAAATAAATAAATAAAATGACTATTAAACTCATTAAAAAAATTTAAATTAAAAATTTAATTATTATCAAATTAATAACTATTTAATTACGTTTATATATGTTATTTAATTAATGTATTAATATAATTAATTTATTATAGTTTAATTCATAATTATTAGATAATTATTACTGAAAAAATTACAGATTGAAGTAATTAAATAATTAAAATTAAATTAAAATGTAAAGAGATGAATTGAAGTTTAATAAGAAATTTTTAATATAATTTTTATTGTTAAAATAAAATTTTCGAGATAAAATTTCTACTGAAATTGTTATTCAATTACATAAAAGAAGTGCCGCAGCCTTCTTATTCAGGGCTCCGATGCGTTCCGGCCCAATTTAAGCTCTGATCGTAGGGGGTGAAAAAGTTCTTTTATCATCACAAAAAGTAAATATACTTAAAGTATAGCTGATGAAAATTCCAGGGCAAAAGAGAATGAGGGTATCAGTGGGTGGAAAACAAAAAAATGAGGATAATCTTGGTGAGAGAGAACGTTCTCTTTGAACCGCGGCTCTCTATCTGATATAATTATAGCCATCAAAGCAGATGGGTGTATCAGGGGTAAAATGAGTCCTGAATCTGAACTCCTAATTATGAATGTAAAGTTGCTGTTTACGCTTTCCCCCACCATTAGTGGATACTGTGGGAAGACGATGTATAAGGATGTGCTTGAGCAGTTTATCTCAGTATTTCACTCTTATTGTATTCGCTGTCACGTAAAACGCACATTTAAGAACACAAATTTTCCTTTCCTGCGAGGATAACTAACTTTAAGCATCGATAACAATACACTAGATACGATGGCATGGCAAGAAATTTACGTGTTCCTAAACAAACTCCCCCAAATTTATTGCCCTTCTTAAAGGGAAAGTTTTCCGCATGTGAGTGAGGGGCCTTTACTTGAATGTCTCATGTTCTCATGAGTTCGTATTTTAAGGGGAAATAGAGTATTGCAAGGTCTGCTGATTGTTAAACTAAAACATTAGGAATTCTAAATTTTTTTCCCCTTTAAATTGTGGTTCAGTTTTATAAAAAAAGTACCGGAGCTCATCTTATTTAGGGCTCCGGTGTGCTTCGTCTAAAACTGTAATTTATCTTAAAAATTGAGAAGTACTGGAGCCGGGCTCCGGTGCAATTTAAACACTCACACGACTATCATACAAGTTAACATACCTTAAGAATTTAAAACACAAATTTAAGTTGTTAAATAAGGATTATGTGATATTACAAAAACAAAACACATTTGTCTCCACATCTTACTGTAATTTTTTTCCACTATTCTTCTCCCTGAGTACAAAGCAATCCGTTTATGCATAAAAGCCCATCAGAGAACTGCACAAACTTGGCATTGTAAACTTGGCAACATTGGCTACCTATCAAATTCATCTCCTTGTTGTTCCCTTCAGAGATTTTACAACAAAATTCTGTATTCCTACGAAGTTTCTTCCATTTCTGGCAAATTCCACAAGTGGATATTTTAAATTTAAGTTACAGGTAAAAAATATTACATTTTGGGAAAAAAAAAAAAAAAAAAAAAAACCATTGCAACTACGATTACAACAAAAAGAAATCATATGAAAATGGCTATGATGCTTGAGTAAAATACGGTTATGAGCACGAACAATAGTTGCCACAATTTGGCATGGTATGAAAATTTGGCGACTTATGTGTTATCGCAACTACTAAGGTGGTTGCGATAACACATAAGTACCTCACTTTATTATGAAAAATACTGTGTTCCCTGAATCCCAATGTCTGGTGCAGCAGACATTATTTTCTGCAAGCCCTGTGTCATCTCCTTTTTTACAAGAGTATTAATTTTTATATGAATATTACTGTGTCAGCTAATTTCAGACATCCTATATATATATATACAGTCAAAAGTCGTTAATTCGGACACCCATAATCCGGAATGATCTATAATCCGGACCTCAAAGTTACAAACTTTCTGCGCATGCGCGTAAGACCTTTACTGCTGCGAATTTGCATGCGCAAAATACGTTTACGAATGCGCGTTTAATGTATAACGGACGGTATAAGCTAAGCTCTAATTATCTATTTCAGTTAATGTTGCAAATTGCGTTGTTCCTTAATCTTCGAATTGGATCCAGCTTATTATTTTTTGCAGAATGTTAGAGCAATTTTATAAAAGTAAGCTTGAACTTTCGATTATGTCAAATAGAATTTCCGATTTATATTTACTAATATGTAACGGATATACAAAGCGAAAGTATGTTTCGGAGTTCATTAAACAAAAAGTGGAATTGCTGCAAAAAATGAATAAAGGCATATCCTTTGTTTATCTAAACTTTAACGTTTGTTTATCTAAACTTTTTTTATCTTTAACGCCGTGGCGCACGCAATTAATTGGAAGTTAATCTGTCAGCACTATCCTTATCTTCAGAGCAGATGTTTTTATTTTATTTGGCTTATAATTGCTTACTAAATGTAGTATTTCATTTCGATGTACTCCATCTTTGATATGATTTAAATCAAATGCCTCCGATAGCGAAGAAAGTGACAGAGGTTATTGAAAACGAAAAAATTTCGATTGACAAATTAGTCGGTATTCTCGACACAGCAATTATAGGACTTGAACAGCGGAACTTTGTAACTGAACAAGAAATTATGTCTGTTTATAGAATTAAAGAGAATGTATTATCACATAAAAAACGAAGCAACTTAAACAACTTACATTGAAAGAAATGTTTAATAAAGTAAACAAATAAATATTAAGCTTTTTTTTTTGTAAATTTTGATATACTTTAGATCGTAATTGTTCTTTATTTCGTAAATTATGGTTTCATATTTTTAATTTTATAATTTCTGCATGCCATTTTACCAGATTTAAACTGATGATCTATAATCCGGAAAAATCGATAATCCGGAATCGCCGAAGTGCCGACGAGTCCGGATTAACGACTTTTGACTGTATATAAATATTATATTACATTATCCTATATATATATATATATAGGATAATATGCTTTGCAAAAAATGTTTAAGAATTTTGATACAGTTTGAAAGTACTATTATTGTTCAAGACAAAATCAGATTCATGATTTTTCCTAATTATTTGAAGAAGAAGAAATTTGGGCATTAATGAATTAAGAACAAGTACCTTTTTGCACTTGCGTGAAATTCACTGAAACCTAAGTTCTTTTTCCAAGCGCAAGATATTAAAAAAGTATTTAAAGAAAGTAATTATCCATAAAATCAAATAGAAATTAAATAACACGACTTATATACCATGCATTAAAAGAGAAATAAATATAAAATCTTAAATTTCCTTAATAATTAAATTTCCCTCAAATAGTAAAGCAATAGTTAATTTCAGACGCAACATTTGATAAAACTAAGTTGGTACCGACCCCCAGGGGGTCAATAATGAGAAAGTGATTGGCTGGGGGTTGTTAGCCAAATATGCACTGGCAACTCATCAGCATCCCACTGATTACAGAACAATATACTAATAAAATTGATAACTAATTTTTTATTGAAATGTTTCACTTCCTATGTTGAAAGAACTTCTATGTTGTAAGGAAGAATTCATAAAAAATAAATATATGGAAAAACACACAAATGCCAATTGTCTGTTATTGAAAAGAGCCATATTTTATCAGATGGTATATCATAAAAATGCACTTCCAAAATTTAATAGAAGATTTTAATGTTCAATTCCAAGCCACTGAAAAATTTGAATCTGCCAGCGCCGAACTGCAGAACAGATACTGTGATGCAAGAAGAGATGATTACATTTAAGGAAGATGTTCAAGCACAAGTATTGTACAAAATACATGCACAGGTTACATTCTGGAATTTAAAAGTCATCCGAGAGAAATATCCTAAAATAAAAATTGTCACCAAACCAACATTAATGACCTTTCCTTCGTCTTACCTAATAGAAGCAGGCATCACTCAAGCCAATAATTTACTATGAAAAATTAAAAGCATATATCCTTAAAAATAAATTTCTGGAACTTTTGTTCATATTCTTAGTTTAACTGATATCTTTGAATTATTTATGTGCAATCATTTGTATTACAATTATGATGTATGTTGTATATTCTAAAGAAAAATGCATGAAGATGAGGAAACTATTTTTTTAAAAGTGATCAAAGAAAAGGGTTAATCCCTGTTCAAATGTGTCTTTGGTTTTACAACTAAATAATAAAGTTTATTCTAAATAACAAAATAACTGAAGATTTCCTGATACATTTGCAAAGAAAATTCAAAACTAAAGGAGAATTTTGGAAACAAAATTGAAATTTGGGATGGCTAATATTAACTAACTCATGCCTACTTATATGCAAAATTTGAATTCAATACACCAAATGCAGTTCATAAAATTGATAAACTCAAAAATTAAGTTTCCTTTTTATGTGTAAATATGGATTTCTACAAAAGCATGCATTTAATTTTAAATTCAGAATTATCAAACCATGGCTTACTTTTGAGACACAGTGTTCTTAATTCACATTTAATCAATTATTTTACTCAGACTATAAATCCTTGTGCATTTCATTTTAATACAGTTACTTTTTTAGTCTTATAGTAGTTTAACACTGCTTCATAGTTATATAATTCTAAAGAAGTTTTCTAATTAATAAATAAGTATTTTTAAACATATGTATTTCTTTAAAAGACCTAATGCCATAAAATACTAATAATTATTTAAAAAATATTTCACTTTGTATTTTTCCTATGGTTAAAAACTGTTTGATGTTTTTCTCTTAAAACCCTGTTTTACAACTAACATAACTTCAATCACATCAGTAACATTTTACAAAAATATAATGTTGTAAATCATATGCTGTCTTCATAAAATTTCTACGTTAAATCACAAGCTATTTTAGTCTGTTCTTAAATAAAATTCAATAAATGTTAGATAAAAATACAGCACTCTTCGATTATCTGCCAAAGTTCCTATGCAAAGACATCAAACACTGACAACTAATTTTTCACCAACCTTGAAAAACAGTAGACATTTTAAAAAATGACAGTGCACCGAAAATACATAAAACAGCTACGAATTAACACAATTAGAAATGCAAGAAACACCTATTATGAAACATTAAAAATTGCATAAAACTTTAAAAAAAAATTGCACAAATTTGACAATTCTCTGATTCCCCCCCCCCCATATTTTTTAGCTAAAATCACTAAAAAATATCAGAATAGAAAATACAAACATAGCATTCAAATTTTTAAACCACATGTTTTATGTAACAACCATTAGTGGATTACCAGATAAATAGATTAAGATTCTAAGTCACCTATTTTGAATGGTGTTTCTAAACAGGTTGTGTGGGTAACCAGAGTGTACACAAACTTCGGACATTCAGGAAGAAAAGAAGTTTAATCAAATGAAAAGAATATGAAGTACTATATTTTTATAACAGAAAATACATATAAAGAGAAGAAAGAAATAAGTACAATTAATACCTATGGCAAGATAATATAGCCTAGGAAGACAAGATTTAATCCTTTGAATGCCAAATGCAATCTGAGTAGTATAACCACTAAATTCCTGACCAAGAGTTAAAGGCACAGCGTCCTGGAAACAAAATATTTTGTGCTTCAAATAGTACACAAATAAAAACATGATATTAAATTTAAAATTCAAAATTTTGCAGTTGATAGAAATTTTAAATTATAAAACATATATGTATGGCATAAATAATTATATAGATCTATGCAATGGGATTTGGAAACTGAAGAGAGATAGATATTGAAGGCAGATAAGGTAGTTGCTGTAATAGCTAATTTTAAATATTCCTTTTTCATTCTACTTGACACCAACATTCTGTTATCCAACACAAAATAAATAGGCACAATAAGAATCTTCTCTTAAGAAACTACATCAGGTCTGTTTATAACTGCAATATATTTGAAACAGCAGATGTTAGCAAGTCTATCTAGAGCAAGAAGTGAAGGCATGTGGTGCATTCAAAATGAAAGCCAGAAGAACAGAAGTTAAAGAGTTATGTTTCCCAAATTAGTTAGTTTTAGTCTGCTTATCCAGAATGGTTAATATTTAAGTTTCTGAATTATCATTGGCTGAAGCCTTACATAAGCTATGTGCATCATGACCCAATTTAGAACAATTATTATACACAATTACTATGTTTAGCATAGAATGGGAAAGCAACCAAATTAAAATAGAGAATTAAGGGGCTACTGGTTATTATTTTGCTTTAAATACTTCTTATTTTAAACACGCACATATGTATGTATGTATGTATGTATATATATATATATATACATATGTACACTGCGCAAAAAAAAAAAAGTGAACCGTTCTATATCTCCCGTTCTACTGGGCCGATAGACGAAATTTCGAAAGGGCGACTTAGGATATATATTAGATATATATTAGGATTTATATATAGCATCATTCTAACATAGGTATTCTAACACAAAATCGGACTTTTTCTGAAATAACATTCAACTTATTTTCCATATTTCGATTCTATGATTCAAATTATGCCAGACTACCAAGTTTTGTAAAAATCTCACGAGTAGTTTTTAAAATTTAGCTCTCAAAATTTTAGCTCTTCAATGTTAATTGAATTTGATATATACTTATTAATATCACATTTTTATTAAACTTTTTTGATTCTTCCTTTCACATTTCCAAATTTAGGTTCATTCCAAATAAATTCATCTATTTTTTATGATTTATTTTTAAAATTTGTATTTTTAAATAATTTTTAAAATTTTTTCGAAAAAAAATTTGAATTATAACCCATAAAATTTTTACCATCATCTTAAATAAGGTGTATTTCTAAGCATACCTGCAAAAAAATTTGAATTTTGTATTCAAAATTTTCTAAGATATACACGAATTTACATATTTGCACAATTTGAAATTTTGCATCTTTTTTTGAGCGATAATAACGTAAAATGTGGTTCATGGATTTTGTTACAGTAAATTTCCACAGAAATTTTTATCCTTAAATTTCAAATAAATTTTTATGGAGAATTAATTATATGAAATTTTCCCCCTCAATAATGCGCAATAAATATTTATTAATACTATATGAAAAGCTATTTTATTAAATTATAGATGATGATATTCAAATTTTTAACTTTTTTAAAATTTCTTTCTTTTTTCCTCTTTTTTCTTTTTTTAAAATATTTGTAACAGTAAATTTTTACCTTCCCTGTGCCGTCTGCTACTTTAGCTTCATTTAAATCGAATTGTTTAAACTGACAAAAGTTCATTTGATGTTTATTTTTACAATGTTTTTAAGCAAACAAGACGTTAACACTTTGGGTCATGTCCTAGCTTTAAAAGACATATACATAAACATAAATTTTTTACATCAATTCTTTTAGAAAGAATGTCTTTTAAGTAGTAATTTTCTCTCGTGTTGTAGATTACATAAAAAACATCTTCTTTAATATATAAATTTTTATGCTTAAAAACTCTAAATAATATGATTAAGATTTTTTTCACCTGATATAAGAATCAGGTCACTTTGTGGTAAAGAATAAGTGTTGCTGTATTTGTTTATTTCTTTCTCATCTAACAAAAATCTTTTAATTCAAATATTTATCCTTTGGACTTTGCTTTAAACTTTATTTATAGTTAAAATGTCTAGAAGCTGTCTTCAGCTGAAACACATTTAATGCAACTGATGTTTTAAAAAAAAATGTGACAAGAATGCAAAATTTATGGAAGTGTAACAATCTAAAAATCTTAATTTTCTTGTGTCAGCACTGAAAACAAATGTAGAAGGAAAGAAGGAAATTAGGCGGTTGAAGCAAAAATTTATAGAGTAATCTACTTCAAGGAAGTTGGGTTTTCAAAGTTAAAACACTTGGATGTGTACACCAGCAAATAGCAGCAATTGAGTTTGTGCTAACGGAAAGACAAAAATGATATCATTGCAGATTAAAGTGAAGAGCAACTGGTTTTCGACTATATGGTTGTATAAATTTAAATTACTTCAGAGAACATCATATCGAATCATAAAAGGAGCATCCCATGATTTCTGCGTCAAATTATTTGAAGATTCAGGAATTAATCGAGTGATGTATGTGGATGTCACCTAAAGATGTTTTTCTTCTTGATGAAACCAACCTTTCCTTTCATCTCATGCCTTCAAAATGCTTAGCCTCAAGATTGATAAAGGCTCTGACCAAATGCTGATGAAATGGATTGCACTGGATTGTAAAGTTACGGGAAAGCAGGGCTATCTGCCTAAAAGGAGGGATGCTTTCGTGAAGAACTTTCTAAGGGAAACCAGCTGGCATACACATTACACATGAGAAAAACGCAAAAACGTCCATGCAACCAGCCCGTTAACTGGGATTCGAACCCCGAAGCAAATTACCAGTGCTCAGCGACTTTACCGCTTAGCCATTGCTGGGTCTTTATGGAATGGAAGGTGATAAATTTATTTAAAATTAATGTCAGAAATACCAAGATGTTTAAAAAAGTTGGATGCTTTTTAATATACTTGCAGAATGCATGTAGAAAAAGAGCAAGCCATTAAAAAGAAAAAATAAATTTTTGCATAAAATTTAGTTTTTTTATTTTTATTTTTTTTTTTTATTTTTTATTTAAAACTTTTTAATTTTATAATATTTGATTCTTGCGATTTCAAAAATAAAATATTTGACTAAAATATGAATAACATTTTAAGAAACTAAATGTAGGATGATAAAATTGTGTACACACACACACATACATAAATCAAAATTCTAACTTTAAATTTAAAATAATCTCTTAACTCTTCATTTTAATTTCGGTATTTCTCCTTTCTGATCTAAAAAAAGTAACTGCATGAAATAAGCTTCTCCAAGCTGCATCCTTTCCAAATCAGTCCATGCCATATGATATTTACATAATGGTATGATGCAGATAACTTACATAAATGCTTCAGTCAATAACAATTAGAGAATTTTTAACTAAAATCAAAAGACATCAAAATCAAAACTAAAGCACCCAGAACTATGCTTTCATTTCAAACAAATCATGCATGGTTTTCCATTTTTTGTTTCTGTCAATCTGCTGCTGCTTGCTGTCCTCAATGTTATATCTGAAAAAAAATTATATATTTCTTCAAGAACAGGCATTAATTTGTGTCAAGTTATATGTGGCTGCAAATGTCAAATACAATTAACCCCTTAACTGACACGGAAAACATATGTTCACTTCCCACTGCCACTATTTTTTCACAGACGCATGTAATTATGCAATGAAGTAGGGGCAAAATAAGTGCAAGTTTTGCTATTTAAAAACTTTTTACTTTTGCAAAGTATAGAAAAAAAGAAAAAATGAAAATACAAAACTTAATGTTTAGAGTAAAAGTATAATAAAAAAGATGTAAGTATAATAAAAATGATGTTTGTAAAATAAAAAAGATCCCAAAAATTGGAATTTCGATCAATTTATTTTTAGACCAGTAAAACGTATATCAGGTTTCAGTGTTATACCTTGTAAAATCAGTATACATAAAAAAACATATTTCTTGCGAATTGGTTGGATGCCATGATTTTGTTTCGTGTTCACAATTCTGTAACCCTCTTCATCTGACGTAATATCATATTCTAAGGTGTCACATCCTGAAGATGATGGAAAGTAATCATCTATTACACTGTCATCATTTTAAGACATATTCATAAAAAAAAAGAACCTACTACAAACAGTAAATGAAAACGGAAGACACAGAATTAAAAAAAACGTTTTACTCAAACAGAAACACAAGCAATAACCATGCAGTCATTACTTTCACCATTTTCAAATATCCCCCTCTCCAAATCCTCCCTCCTCTTCTCTGAAATAGTAACCTTCTTTGCATATTCTGTCAAGGTCATTGTGGTGTTGCATTCCAAAGCTTTGCAAATAATTTTACTCGTAGCAACACATAGCAAATGATAGTATTTCAGAAGGGTGTATATATACGCCTGGGGCAGTTAATGCACCAGCTGAGCAAGGCAGATATATATGCCCCCGGTAGTTAAGGGGTTATAAAGGAATACTTAAATCTAATGTGACTGCAAGCTTCTTCATACTACATTTATACAACTTCAACATTTATCTTCTTCATTTGCAAATCATCACATACGTACATTATATATCAAAGTAACATAGCAACAGCCTTATATATAAACACAATAAATTATAAAATTTCATCTGCTATCGGAAATATCTGCAAATATCAGCTATTAGAAATCTAATGTTGTAAGTATATAAAGCAATTTGAAACACAACATATACAGCAAATAAAATTAATGTTAAATACATTCTGCTTGAAGGGACGAATTCATCGTAAAAACTTAGCTATAGGTGTCTAACATGCATGTACCATTTCAAGAAATACGCAGATGATTCAAATTTTACAATCTAAAGTACTTCATTAAGAAATGATAACAACAAGAACATTACATTGTTATTGGTGGTAAATCCTTTACTGCTGGTTGTATAAGGTGATATTTGGTGCAGCTTAAAATTAGTTAAATAATCCAAGTCCTTGAGCAGAAAATTCTCTCACAAATTTTGCAGCTCAGCCAATTCTGCAATAAATTATAAAATTTTATCTCCTA